TGGCCGCAGAAGGTGGGCATTTCTCGCTTTTCCTCCCCCTCGGCCTCCCCTGCTCCCCCCTCCCCCGCCCTCCCCTCCCCCGCCCTCCCCTCCCCCTCCCGGACTCCCCTCCCCGCCGCCCCGCACCCCACGTGAAGCGGAATATAAAGGGGGGTGTGTGACTAGAGGGGAAAGTGAATGGCGAAGGCCTGAAGGGGCGGGGAGGGGGGGCTCCCCTTCGGGTCCCTGGCTGCCGGGTTCACCCTCGTTCATCCTCCCTTCCCGAAGCTCGCCCTCGAAGGCAGGAGCGGCCGGCGCCTTCGATTGAGGAGGAGGAAGAGGAGGAGAAGGAGGAGGCATCGCGCCGGGCGGAGCGTCAGGTCCCGTTTTCCTCCCCGGCGTCTCCAATACAAAGATTACGGTGCAGAAGGAAATTGCGCTCGCCTCCAACGCCCCCCCTGGTCCTCCACACAATGCACCAGCCGCCCGAGTCCACCGCCGCCGCGGCGGCCGCCGCTGCAGACATGAGTGCTAGGAAGATGGCGCACCCGGCGATGTTCCCCCGAAGGGGCAGCGGCGGTGGCAGCGCCTCCGCTCTCAATGCAGCAGCAGCAGCAGCAGCAGCAGCAGGTACCGGCGTTGGTAGCGCGGCCACATCTTCGGAGGATTTTCCGCCTCCGTCTCTGCTCCAGCCGCCGCCTCCTGCAGCATCTTCCACGTCGGGACCACAGCCTCCGCCTCCACAAAGCCTGAACCTCCTCTCGCAGGCTCAGCTGCAGGCACAGCCTCTTGCGCCAGGCGGAACCCAGATGAAAAAGAAAAGTGGCTTCCAGATAACTAGCGTGACTCCGGCTCAGATCTCTGCCAGTATCAGTTCTAACAACAGTATAGCAGAGGACACGGAGAGCTATGACGATCTGGATGAATCTCACACGGAAGATCTGTCTTCTTCCGAGATCCTTGATGTGTCACTTTCCAGGGCTACAGACTTAGGGGAGCCGGAACGAAGCTCCTCAGAAGAGACTCTAAATAACTTCCAGGAAGCTGAGACACCTGGGGCAGTGTCTCCCAACCAGCCCCACCTTCCGCAGCCTCATTTGCCTCACCTTTCACCACAGAACGTTGTGATCAATGGGAATGCTCATCCCCACCACCTCCATCACCACCATCACATTCACCATGGGCACCACCTTCACCATGGGCACCACCATCCATCTCATGCTGCTGTGGCCAGTGCATCCATTCCTGGAGGGCCACCCTCGAGCCCAGTGTCCAGAAAACTTTCCACAACTGGAAGTTCTGAAGGTGGTGGTGTGCCAGTTGCACCAGCTTCTGCTGTATCATCAAGTGGCTCGCCTGCATCTGTAATGACGAACATCCGTGCTCCAAGTACTCCAGGTGGTATAGGTATAAATTCTGTTACTGGCACTAATATAGTGAATAATGTTAGCACTGCTGCTGTGGGTAGTTTCAGTCCTAATGTGACAAGCGGCATGCTTGGTAATACTAATATGAATACAAGCAATATTCCTAGTGCTGCTGGTGTAAGTGTTGGGCCTGTTACCAGTGGTGGTAATGTGAGTATCTTGAGTGGCATGGGCAATGGTACTGTTTCTTCCTCAACCATTGCTAACACTGTCCCTAATGTAACTGCAGGGATGAGTGTGGGATTGGTTTCAAGTCAGCAGCAACAACCAACAGTTAATACATCAAGGTTCAGAGTTGTGAAGTTAGATTCTACTTCTGAACCCTTTAAGAAAGGTAGATGGACTTGCACTGAGTTCTATGAAAAAGAAAATGCTGTACCTGCTACAGAAGGTGTGGTGATAAATAAAGTGGTGGAGACTGTTAAACAAAACCCAACAGAAGTGACTTCTGAGAGGGAGAGCACTAGTGGGAGTTCAGTGAGCAGTAGTGTCAGCACACTGAGTCACTACACAGAGAGTGTGGGAAGTGGAGAAATGGGAGCCCCTACTGTGGTGGTGCAGCAGCAGCAGCAACAGCAGCAGCAGCAGCAGCAGCAGCAACAACAACAACAACAACCACCACCACCACCACCACCACCAGGTCTTCAAGGTGTGGCCCTCCAGCAGATGGATTTCAGTAGCCCTGGCCCTCAGAGTATTTCAGCAGTTAGTATACCACAGAGTATTTCTCAGTCCCAGATGTCACAAGTACAATTACAGTCTCAAGAACTGAGCTATCAGCAAAAGCAAGGTCTTCAACCAGTACCTCTGCAAGCCACTATCAATGCTGCAACTGGTATCCAGCCATCGCCTATAAATGTGGTTGGAATAACTTCAGCTGTAGGTCAGCAGCCTTCCATTTCCAGTTTGGCTCAACCCCAACTGCCATATTCTCAGGCGGCTCCTCCAGTGCAAACTCCTCTTCCAGGGGCATCGCCCCAGCAGTTACAATATGGACAACAGCAACCAATGGTTTCTACCCAAATGGCCCCAGGCCATGGTCAGTCAGTGACTCAAAATCCTCCAGAGTATGTACAACAGAAGCCAATTCTTCAAACAGCAATGTCCTCTGGCCAGTCCAGTTCTGCAGGAGTGGGAACAGGAACAGCAGTGATTGCTGTGGCTCAGCCACAGGGGATCCAGCTGCCAGTGCAGTCCACTGCAGTCCAAGCACAACCTGCAGGAGCATCTGGCCAGCCTGTTGGCCAGGCTCAAACAGCAGTGTCTGTTATACCTACTGGTGGTCAAATGGCAAATATTGGTCAACAAGCAAACATACCTACTGCAGTGCAGCAGCCCTCTCCCCAAGTTACACCTTCAGTTATTCAGCAAGGTGCTCCTCCATCTTCACAAGTAGTTCCACCTGCTCAAACTGCAATTCTTCATCAGGGAGTTCAAACTAGCGCTTCAAGCCTTCCTCAACAGTTGGTTATTGCACCCCAGAGTACCTTGTTAACTGTACCTCCTCAGCCACAGGGAGTAGAGCCCATAGCTCAAGGAGTTGTTTCGCAGCAGTTGCCCACAGTTAGTCCTTTGCCCTCTGCTAGTAGTATTTCTGTTACAAATCAGGTTAGTTCAACCGGTCCTTCTGGAATGCCTTCTGCCCCAACAAACTTGGTTCCACCACAGAATATAGCACAACCCCCTGCCACCCAAAATGGTAATTTGGTTCAGAGTGTTAGTCAGTCTCCCTTAATAGCTGCTAACATAAATTTGCCTTTGGCACAACAGATCCCACTAAGTTCTACTCAGTTCTCTGCACAATCATTAGCTCAGGCAATTGGAAGCCAAATCGAAGATGCCAGACGCCCAGCTGAGCCCTCCTTAGTCGGCTTACCTCAGACTATCAGTGGTGACAGTGGGGGAATGTCAGCAGTTTCAGATGGGAGTAGCAGCAGCCTAGCAGCCTCTGCTTCTCTTTTCCCGTTGAAGGTGCTACCGCTGACGACACCCTTGTTGGATGGAGAGGATGAGAGGTAAGATCATACCATATTTCTGCAGATGTTCAACAGATTTGAAGTTTATTTAGTAGCACTATGTGGACAAAATATGCACAAAATTAGTTTTAGGCGTATGTTTTAATTTTTGTATGTGAAAATTCATATTTGTGGTAAGTTTTCAGCAAGAGTGTTCTGAAATGATTGCAGATTGGATGGAAAATGGTATAAGTTATGTAAATATTTGTGAGAATAGTTTTGGGGCATATGTTTACATTGCAATAGGTGTAGGGACACCAAATAACTTATTTATAAATTAATTTTAGAAGATTAAGTATGAAGTTTCTATTTAATTAACCCACATAATATTTAATCTACTCTTTGTGGAGTTACTAAAATCCTTATGATCATTTCTTGGGGAGTTGTGGTTCTCACATTTGTTCTTCTTTACTAGACAGTCCTTTTTTGTTCTACTGTGTTTGATCTTACCCTGTGGAAGATAATGTTACCTACTTTTCCTAGTCTGACACTGGAGGAAAGATGACCTAACCTGGACTTTAGGTTGCCCTCATCCTGTAATTGATCAGCCTTTGTAAACTTAATTTAATGGTTACTTTATTGAACAGAAAAGGAATGGGAATCTAAAAACAATATATTTAGGGAGAGAAAGGCATACACTGTCAAAATAACCCGATTTATCTTTGTTGATAGTATACTGTATATTTTTTTCTTTTGCATAGCAGGTCAAGGTGGTAGCCATTTTAAAGAGTAAAGTAAGTCTTGGAGGGTTGAATTTATATAGGCATGAAATAAGAGGTTCTGCTGATCAATTCCTCTTTGTTAAGAGATTCTTCCTTTACCTTCCCCCTCCCCCCAAAAAACACAGTCTAAAATTCCTTATTAAACCAGCATTTTTCACTTTGATTGGAAATAATGTGATAATCATGCTGGATCTCATTGTCTTTGATGCTGACCAGATAGAAAAGTTCTGAAATTTTGTTTTGCTTTAAGACTTCATCGATTTAGGACTTGTTGATTTTTTTTTTTTTTTGAGGAATGTTCTTTCCACACATTTGCCAGTCTTTGACTAATCTTGATCAAAATATAGGAATTATGAAAAGACCAAAACTTGCAATATGTTCAGTTATTTTAGTATTGGAATTTTTTTAAGACTGACCTTCCATTAAACTGAATTATTTATATTCTATATGAATATTTACGGGTTTCACTTTGGAAAGCTGAGCATATTGTAAAGGAATTATAATTTTAGAAAAAGAAGACAATGGGCAAATGTTTTGGTAAGGTTTTTTTCAAAATTCAAACATGTTAATTGAAAGAAGAGAAAATTTTTCATATTTTTAATTAGTTAATACTCACAATTTCAAATCTGGTTACCAATCATATATATTCTGTATCCTAGTACAACATTGCACTTTAAAAGACTAAGAGGTAGTTTTCATAACAGTATTATTATACTTATTGTTCAACACTTAACTTTATCATCCTGACACCTCTAATTATAGTTTTAATAATTATTTATGATTATTAATATTTTCTAAATCAACTAAAGTTTGTAAAGAAACAGTTACGTTATATAGATGTTAAATTTAGAGATATTTCATACAGAAATGAAAACCTGACAACTTGAATTCAAACCTGGTATGATTTTCTTAATTACAATTTTTATGCTCCTGTTATGACTTTCTCTTGTTTTCCTCCTGTTGGTAGGAACATAGCAGGGCTTTCCAAAACTTACTGCTCTACACAATCAGGATGCTACTTACAACCAGGTTCTTAGCTGCAAGGATAGAGTTCTAATTTAAGATATTAGTACAAATTATTTTCCAGAAAGATGGTAACTGAGATAAATATTAATTAGGGGAAAATTATTTAGAAGAGTGGTTTCTGTTTTCTTGTGCTGAGGATAAAACCCAAGGCCTTGGGCATGTTAAGCAAGTGCTCTATCATTGAACTATATCCCAAACCCCTTTGTAGGTTTTGTGTGTGTATGTGTGTGTGCGTGTGTGTGTGTGCATGTGCACTAATGATATTAATTACTGTAACAAAGGGGTAGAATCCTAATCAATAATTTTAGAAGTGTTACAAGGGCAGCAAAGGAACTCTGCCTGAGTACCTTTGTCAGCTCACCAAAACATCATTGAGGTCTACCCTGGAATTTGTTGTAGACTTGAAGCAAATATTTTCATCCAGACTGCCACTTGCTTAGTGTCTGGCATTACCTTATTAGAAACATTTTTGTTTGTGAAGGTGTAGCTAGAACCACATTAATATACCCATTTTACATAGGACATGACTGAATCTTGGGGACAGTTTGTTGGCTGTAGTTACATACTACAGGCACAATTGGTAATTATTGAGTACAGACAGATTTGGAGCAATGAATTTATAGAAGGGATTGAGTCTTTATAGGTCTACTTTATTGCTGGTTATTTCTTTTCCCACTAGAATTTGGAAAAAAATATTTAGGTTTGTCCTTATAAGAGGATTTGGGAATACCTACCAGTTAAAACAGTGTTATAATTGTAATTTTTTTCTACTTTTCATGTGTTGCTTATCACCTTTGTCTCTTGTGGGACTACTATTATGATGCTGGAAATGCTGACATAAATATTTTGGGAGGTAGGAGAATGAGTGATTATTCTTTAATCACCAGAGATAATACTCATTTCAGATTTTAAAGTGTTTATGTAGGAAGTACTTTCAAATAGCCATTCTGAAGTGAGTATCAAGAGTAAAAATACAGATCAAGATCTTATGATTATATGTTTAACTTTCAAAAAGTTACCTTTTTTAAAAAGATTCATGTGTTAGCCTTTAATATGAGCTTTCATTTATAAGAACGTGAAGATAATTTATTCCTCTCTGAAATACATTTTGTGATTGTTAGCACAACCTCTTATGTGAAATGTAGCCAGACTTCTGTTCATCTTTCAAGATTCAGCTTAGATGTTCCCTCTGAAGGATGTTTTTTCCTCAGAGGATATTGTTTCCTTAGCACCTTTTAATGTTCCTTTATTTAAACACTTGCATGTATTTGATTATAATTATGTTTACCAGTTTTTCCCACAAGACTAGGAGTTCCTCAAGGGCAGCAGCTAAATACTTTTTTTTAACTAATTAATGAGCAGACTTTTCTCTGCTTTTCGTATTATGATTTAAAGTTTAAATTCTCTCTCATCTTAAAGTACAACTGTTACAGATGCAGAATCATATAATTTCTTCAATGAATTGAAAAGAAATGAATAAAATGACTTGCTAACCTCATTATTTTTGGAGGTGAATTGATACCTGTCTTCTATGTATAGAGGAATACGTTTTCTTATATGTAATATAAGAGCAGTATCATTTAACACACCAGTTAACAACATCAGTTAAAACACGATAATGTAAACCTTTTTTATGAGTAGTATCTCAGTCTATAGCCCAGGCTTGACAATTCTCTTGGCTACATCTTCCCAAGTGCTGATGATGACAGCTGTGTAACATCATGTTTGACTCTAGTTTTAATTTTTTAAGAGTGCATGATCAATTTAAAGAGTCAAATAGTTTTTACATGATTAGCCAAAATAAATAATAAAAGCTTCCTGCCTGCTTCCTTCCTAAGATCCTTTCCTAGAAACACCTTTGCCTTTCTTCTTTTAGATGATGGTGCTTTTACTCTAGTTTCTAACATGCTTTTCTTGCTATTGAATATGTAACATAACTTGGTGGTTAGAAGCATGGACTTGAAATTAGATTGCATAGGTTTGTCCCTCTGGTGTCATCTAGTTTTATGTAACTTTGGACCTCTTAACCTCTTTAAGCCTCAATTTTTTTCATTTTAAAAATGAGGTAACAGTATTTATGGTAAGATTGTTACACAAATTAAGCAAATTTGGTAAAACCCTTTAAACTTTGACTAACTCACACGCCCTTTGGCTTTATTAACTTCTTAAGTACAAAATGATCTACTCAGCTGCTCACTCTTCCTACCAATACTCCTTTCTGCCAGTAGTTACAATTGTGTTACTTTCATTATTTAGTATTTTTGCAAAAGATAATTACTTTCCAATTAACTAGTACAATGTGCTATGGCTGCCTTCTTGTCTTTTTCCTCCCCTCCTCCCGTCCCCAGCTATCTAATATATAGACATGGTAGGTTTCCCTCTCCTCTCAAGAGTTCATTTATCAGCATAGGTTTTTTTTTTTTTTTTTTTTTTACAATTTGTTTCTCTTCCCTCCCCTTCCAATTTTTGTATGTTTGGGGGGCACTCTTATGTGCATGCTCTCACACTCCCTCCCACCTTTTCCCTCTCTTCCTCTCTCTATTTTTAATCTGAGACTGGGACTTGAACTCCTTATCTTTTGCTCATTTGCTGATGCTGGGTGACCCTGAGCCATGCCTCCAACCCCAAAGCGGGTTGGAGGGGTTCTTTTTTTTAGAAGAGTCCTTTACATACTTGATTTTTCTTGATTGTGTTCTTGTCCTTAAGTGTGAGAGGATTAAAAGAACTAATTAGAAATTTCATTGTGGCTTCATTGTTTGCTTTACCCTAGGGTGATATGGTGGAGTTCTTGCCTCTCCTGTAGTAGTCTTTATATTTATCATTTTATCATTAAGTGTAAATTGCATCACTGTCTCAATACTGACACCAGGTTATCAATTTTATCTTCCTGAGGAAGTCTTTGTCCTATCTGCCTTTTAAGCTTGGTATTCCACTGTTATCCTTGGATTCCTCTTTTGGATCTTCATTTTCTAGTGACCAGTATTGTCTTCATTATTGATTTACTTGGTATTTGAAAATGGCTTTATTTTACCTTGATAATTGTTTGAGTCTTTGTTTAGGCAAAGAATAACTGATGAAGTATACTTTTTAATCTTGCTTTTTAGCATCCATATGGTTTTTGTGAAATCTAAAGCATTTAATCATATATTGTCATATGTTTTATGTGAATTGTGTTTTGTTTTTCCCTCTTTGCCTTTCCCTCTACTCATTTTTAAAAATCTGAACGTTTTAGATTTTATTTTCAGTATACTG